TTTTTAAGAATTATTCCTTTTTGCAGGAAAGTTACATCATAGAAAGCAAAATAGTTAGACTCAGCTATGAAATTTGCAATTATATAGGGTTAGGTGCTTAGACAACAAGCAGTGGGCGGCGATTTTTCGAACAAAAGTGTCATAAGCTACAAAGGTACAAGACTCGGAGGATAAGTAAATGTACAAAAATTCAAAAATTATCGCATTTGGGACTCCTAATTCCTATGTAAATGAAAAATTGTTATTACAAAATATATATATATATATATATATATATCACTGTCTGGTGTGCTCTTTGGTCCGGAATTGTGATTTTACTTTACTTCTTTGAAAACTAGAACGGGAGACCTAATAACATTGGAAGTGTTTTCTTTCGAAAGATCGTATTTATGCGGACGAACCATTAACTATTGTGCACTTGGAATGTTGGTTCGTCAAATTATGTGGCATAAATTAGTCGAAAATTACATCAATGGGATTGAAATTCACAAAATTTGTCGTGGCGGTCATTTGGCTGAACGAGTGTTTAACATATTTGTATCTAATTCCAAGATTTAAGCATTATAATAAAAAAAAGAATTTTATGAAAAAAGTATTGCGTTTTATTTACGTTTATTTTCAAAATCACAAAAAGAATAACAGTGTGATATTTTTTTAAATGGTCTAAGAAACCAAATAGGCAACACAATTTTATTGCACTTTAAACTCATTTTGTATAAAAAATTTCATTTATGTTCGAAATGAAATTATTTTTTACTTCAAAAAGAAAATAAAGAAAATAAAAAATATAAAAAAATAAATTAAAGAAATAAAAAAAATCACTATGAACATTTTTCTTTTAAAAAATTTATTTTTGTAAGTGCATATTAAAATTTTTGGGGCGAACATTTTTTTGAAATGTAAATTTTTCAAAAGTTTTTTCATTTTACTCAGCAAAACTAAAAACTTTTTTTTTGCCATTCACACACATTATTAAAAGGAATTACATTCCAATGAGCATTAACTACTAATATTCTATATGCTGGGTATTATTATTAATTATTATTTAAGTATTCAAAAAATTTTGCACACATCATTAAAAGTACACCGAAATCTAATGTGAACTGTATAATATTCCATTTTAATGTGACATTAAAATACCAGCTTGCATATTTTAAGGCGCACAAGCGCAGCTCGCCTGCTGCGATGACAGCAACGGAGCAAAGGCGATGACAACAATAGTGAAAATTTATGAGAGATGTAATAAATGTATATGTATAAAAATAAAAAAATGGAAACTTAAAGCAAAAAAAATAAGTTAAAGGGAAAGTAAAATATGAATGTGAGGAAAATAAAAAAAATTAAAAGAATATATAAAGAGCATCTAAAGCAAAAACACTCACTCAGTCTTAACACTAAATCACTCGTGGGTATTGTGTCGTGCTGAGAGCAAAAATATCCTTTCGCCTTGCGCATATTGAAAGCAACAGACAGCAACAGTCTAGGCGGCCATAAATCAAGAGTTTCTAAGAGCGAAATTGCGTAGCTAGAAAATTTTACAGTTAAAGGACGCACGCAAAACACATACAAATTCTTTTAAATGTATGAAATTGTGAAGAAAGTTTCCAAGCAGTTTGTTGGCCAACCGGCTGCGGCTAGCCAAGCGTGCAAATGACAGCGTCACAACGTCCGATGCGCAGTTTACGCTTTGAACAGAAAATAATTTCAGTAAAAGTTGCTTACACATATACATATGTATATACATACATATACATGTAAAAGCCTGCATGCGTGCTATTGTAAACACCATCAGCAAGAACATGGGTATGCTCTTTGTAGCGCGATAAGAAATGCCCATTGGCCTTATGTAAGAATTTTCACTTTCTTCATATACTAAAACTACTATTTATATATATATATTTATACGGAGAAACATATAAATATTTTTGCATGTACAATGCAGGCGTCACGCTGTCTGGCCTGCACTAGACAGTGCCACCCCTAGGAAAAATAACAACAAAAGTCCCATAACTCCCCGGCAAACACGCCAGCCAGCCATCCAGCCATCAAGCTAGCCGGTAAACTCTGTCCAGTGCGTGTCCAGACAGTTGTGTCGGTTATTATCGCATTTACTATCGCCTACAACTGTTATGAATTATTATTTGTTATTGCTTTTGTTGTGGTTGTTGTGTCTGGCAACCATTTAAAAAAGCTTGTTGCATGCCTCGTCGCAGGAATTTTTATTGTGCTTGTTTTTGTTGTTTTGAACTTTATAGTGCACGTATTTTTAATAGTCTCCACAGTATTTCTGTTTATTTTCTTTTTAGATATTTTGCAGGTAAGCTAACAGGATTAGCTGCGTTTTATGGTTGTTGCATGCTCGCAGGATGTGCGGAAATTCACTTGAATGAGCAGCAAAAAAATAAAATTAAATAAATTTGTGAATTGAGTGAGTGTGTGTGAGTAAGTGTTTCGCCGAAGCTGTTGCATGTTTCCGCTGACCGAAGACGTGATTGAAGCATCTTGTTTATTGACGCTTGACAGGCAATGTAATTGTTGTCTGCTTCTAGGCGGTGTCAGTGATTGGAAAGCAAATTTAATTTTAGAGATTCAAGGCACTAAATATTTTCTTTACATTTTGCATATAATGCAATATTTTAATTTTTCATATTTTTTTAAATTGTTATAACACAATATTTTAGAAATAAAAGCCTCAACAGTCCGGGTAATGGACTGAATAATACCCCATACATTATGTCGACCAATTTTCTCAATACATTTCGATTGTGAAACCTTACTTGGTTGGACTTCAATTTGATGAGTCAAATCATGAATAGTCTCCACTGCCGTCGCATTCAACCTTAGCGGCTTTCTACAAAAAATAATTCAATAGAGTCAAACTGCGGTTGCAAGGCGGTCAGTTGAATCTGCCGTTTCGGGAAATTATGCGATTTTCGAAGAAAAGTTAGCCAACATAACAAGGCTGTGTAGCAACAAAAGTTATTCTCTTCAACATTTGAAAACAAATAATCTCAGGGCATGGCGCGTTACTCTTTGAGAATGCATTAGACTTTTCCATGAGTGGATTTTGTGACCCCAATATGCGACAGTTTTGCTTGTTAACGTAGCCGCCCAAATGCAAATGAGCTTTATCGGAAAAAAATATTTTTGAATAAAAACTCTCAACTTCTGCCAAGCAATCTTTAGCCTATTAAGCGAAGCGAAACCACGTAGGATGTACAGGGGGCTTCAGTGCATGCACAAATTATATACAAAATCCTGTGAAAACAAATCGTCCACAATAAATTATTAATTAATAAAATGTGCGAATATCCCTTCCATTCTACAAAAAATCGGTCTTTATATTTATTTGAACTATGAAAGTATGAAAATTTTAATCATACGAGGATATTAACAAAAGTTTAGTATGCTCCTCGTACTGTAAAGTAATGGATAAAAAAAAATAAATAAATAAAAAATGGTAATCATAAATTATTTCATATACAAAAGCTTTCAGAAATGTCAACTTTTCAATTGCTTAGAAACAATCCTTTTATGTTATTGCCTTCTCGGTTATTAAGCGAAAATTTTCATTAATAAGGGTTTTATAATATATTGAAGATTTAAAAGCCTACTTGGAAAGTACAAAAATAATGTCATTGATTGGCAGTACAAATAAATTGGATCCATTTTTTGTGTTAAAAAAGTATTTTTTTTTCATTGAATAAACAAAAAAAAATCATGGCGAGCATTGTTCGCGGAAGGCGAATACTATTTCCTATCTCTCGGGTAACAAAGCAATTTTTGGCCGCGCTCCTTCTCCAATTTGGGGCCTGCGTCTTGATGTTTTCCAACAATTGGTGGCACCTACAATTTATTCTAAGCCGCCTCTGAAAGGGCGGTGGAATTTTTTCTATGATTTTAGATGTTGATCGTATCAGAACTCGAACACTGACTTTCGGTAGCACCACTTGGCTATTGCGGCCCCTATCTGTAACGAATATTATCTCTAAAAAAAAAATACGTTTTCTCAAACTGTAAAAAGGTCTGGAGAATACGACTGTTGGTGTAAATTATCCCATTTCAGCGTTTCCAGATAGTTTTTGCCTATTATAGAAGCGGGGAGGCGAGTGTTGTTTTGTTGCAAAATCACCTTGCCATACCTCTCGTCCTCTTCAGCCCAACATAAATTGACTGCTGAGTCACTCCCAACGATTCTGCGAGTAAAGATAGCATTTGCACGGATATTGATTCAGTAAAGCCTCCGATTCTTCGTTTTCGGACAGGATGCTATTTGCCTTCAGCACTAAAATGATCACTTTTAGAGCGTTTAAACCACAAGCATTCAATAGGCGCTTTCCTTTCAATTCAAAGAGAAAATAACAACTTTCCGGACATTTTTGAAGTGGCATAAAACAATATTGTTGTCAGACTCTGACTAAATACTGTTAACAAATGTAAAACCTTCCCAATAAAATATGTAATCCCTTCTAAGATCAGCCGCAACTTGCTGGTGGAGCCATATTTTCAGAAAGGATCGAATTAATTTGTACCCTCAATAGTTAGAAGGTCTCACTTATCATGGCTGAAATATAATATTACAAAATATTCATCACACAGGAAATACAAAATTTATTTATTTCTCACGGAAAAAGACTATGTTTATAGAATATTACACCATAAGTTACTTAAATTATTTTAAAAAAATATGTAAAATCGTATATCTAATAAAAATATATAATAAAGTAAATATTATTTAAGTTTCACTAAAAACTCATAATAAATTCACCAGTTTTCTTAATTTAGTTTATTTATACTAGTAATTAAATCGATTTTAATATTCGCTGGGGAAATCGAGTAATTAAAAAATCAATTAATTCAAGATATAAGACTACTCCTTGTAATGTATCGATTAATTATCAATATGATGTGCCAAACTCTTTGCACATCAATCGAGAATTAATCGTGATTAATAGTCGATATATAAAGTCAACTTGTCTTATATAAAAATTCAAAGTTTGTAAAGAAATTATAGACAATACATCGATAACAAATTGAATGTTGATTAATTAAATATTTTATTTGATATTATCAGCCAATAGTACCGTTGATTTACGGAACCAAATTAGCAACGCAACATTAATCGATTTCTTCTCTCCGATTTGATCAGTAATCGACTCATCGATAACTGATAAGCCGACTTTCTCATCATTAAAGAACGGCTGATTAAAGAAACTGCTTGCGCCTTAGAACCACTATGGAGAAAATTTAAAAAATTACTTATTTTTAAATGACAAAAATTAAAAAAATGTAATAAAAATATGAGCTACAGTTGTTGAATTTCTAAAATGAAAATAAACTTTTGGATGAAAAATTTATAGTGAATGAATGTATAAATGAACTTATTTCAGTTTCATTATAATTATCATTAAAATAAGTGAAACAATATCGTGCGCCCAGAAATCAACGCATTTCCTTTTTAAAGTCACTTTCAAAAAATACTCGTAATTGAAACTTATAATCCTCAACATCTTTCCCGCACAAATTCAATTATCACCCCACTCAAGTATGAAATTTTTATTACCACTGTTAATGACACAAAGACAGAAAAAAAGAGCCAACTGAAGGAAATTGCAAGCGGAGTTGTGTGGGTGAGAAACGTTCGCTTGCATTAATTTGTTAGATCAGACGTGATGATTTGAGCGACGTATGCAGGTTTTTTGTGTGCTATGAAATGAAGCGTTGTAGAGTCGGAGAAATGGTAATGAAAGACAACCAACCAGCACCAACAATATAAGTTAGGACAGCGCAGGAGAAAAAGGACAGTAGAGTTTTGAAAAGTTTTGAGTTGAAAAAAATCTAAAAAAAAATTATACATACATTACATGATGTTAAAAATGGAGTTTGATATAATAGAAAAAGCAAATGGCAATGGAAGTTAATTGAAAGTTTTGGAATTGTTATTTTAATTCAAAAAAGGTGGAGTGGTCAAGCGAATGACGGGATTCGTGATTTAAACATAATGAACGAAAAAGTATAGTAATTAACAAAACTGAAATCAAAAAGAATATGAACAAAAATTGAATGAATAATGTAGAAGAAGTTGAGAGCAAAGAGCATTTGTAAAATAAATAAATGAAAAATTGCCACTTGGCCAAAGCCATAGAACAATCTACTTTTTTACGTTGGAATAATTAAAAAAAGTAGAGTTATTGGGGAAAAATTTGCTTTTCATAAATAATAAAAAATAAAAATAATCTCTAGGAAGTCCAAACTTGGCATATGGTGGAGTAGGCAATCTTTAATCGGAATTTCAAATATTTTGATAATACATCTATTTAATCAATACCATTTAGTTACAGAATTTCTTTCATTTCCAGCCTCTTCTTGAAATAAAATAAGTTCAACCTTTGATATATTAAGTTGAAATTTTTCTTAAACTCTTTGATATTCGGATTGTGGGAGATTATATTTTTAAAATTGAAAAGAAAAGAAATTATGTTTTTTTGGATATAATATAAAACAAAAAAATTATATATATTCTTAACACTTAACAGACTTTTTTTCGATAGATTACTAAAAAACCAATAATTATAGCTTTTGCCAAAATAGTCAATTGAAGGCGAAGAGAGCCAATAGAACACTAGCAGAAATTACAGCAAACTAACAGCTTGTTACATACCTAAAAACTCGTTGATAAATATAAATAAATAAAAGCAATCAGCGGTAGCAGAGTAGTAATAAAGACAAAATAGACTTTGAATTTAGCTAGACAACTACAACAACAAATTACTACAACAACTAACAAACCTCTTGTCTACCGATTGCTGAAGCATGAGTATGTATGTACATATTATATTTGTTGCAAAATTTATTGCTTTGACAGGTGACAATTGTATTCGGTTGTCGAGGATGCCATGTAAGGTTGCTGACAAATTGAAGTGGCGTGCCAGAGGTCGGCAAGCGGTAGGTGGATGTGAAGAGTTTATTATGCAAGAAGAGGTTGAGTAAATGACCATATAAAATTTAAATATTTATTAAAAAGTGTAAAAAGAAGTTCCAAAAAAATTTTCAAAATTTAACAACAAACATATTTGTAAATTTTAGTGAAAATTTAGTTGAAAAAATTACCAGATAATGGTCGATTAAAAATAATTTGATATATTTATTTTTGTAATGGTATTGGGTTATTGAAGAGGTAGTTTTCATATAATAATATATTTTGGTTTTTGTGTTTATGGGTGTTTGTTTGGTGGTATTGAGAAATAATTATCCACTTTGAGCACCTTCCCATCAGACAAACTCTTTATTTGGAATTTTTTAGTCAACTAGTGGATCATCTGAAGGAAACAATCGCCCAGAAATGCTTAGCTTTGTGTTTTATCAAGACAACACTAGATCATTCACATCGATAGTGATTCGCAAGGGGCTCTGTGAGGAGTCCAGACCTCCCAAAAAGTCTTTATCATCGGTTGCGGTCTATGGTGACTGATTTGGCTGGAGGAGTTGGACTCAATAGAAGCCTGGGAAAATCGATTGTCCTAATATTTTTTACTAATAAAGACAGGGGTTTCTATGAGAGAAGCATAATGGCTTTACATTCAAAAATTTATCGTGAAAAAAAAGGTACATATTTAGAACAGTGACTATACTAGACCAATTTAAATTTAGAATCAGTTATCATTGTTTAATAAAATGTCAATAAAAATGATGAAAAATAAAGAAAAACGGAAAATTTACGTTCCTTTACGTTCCTTGAGGGTTTATTAAAATTAAAAAAAAATATCGCTTAACAAAATTTATTTAAAAATTTATGTATATATATAATAAGTAAAATATTAAATAAAATTTTGAATAAATTAATGTAAGGAAAAGCTAAACAATTAGAAAAGATTTTAAATTAATAAATTATATTATAAATTTTTGTTAAAATAGAGCAAGTTTAAAAAAAACAAAAATTATAAGAAATAATAAAAAAATAAAATNATGCCAGAAATAACTTAAATTTTTATATACATTTAATAACAAATTTTGTCTTCCCTTTGTGTATCTCAGATTCATGTAATGTATCTTTAATGGATGTTTTTCAAAAATAGCTCCAGCTGTGGAAGGTTAAAATACTAAAAAATAAAAATTAAATTTCACATGAATTTAAAATCTAAATCTTAAAAAAAGTTAAGTAAATGCGCAAATCACACGGTTTATGTACTTCACTCTTCACGCTTTTTGCTTTATTTTTCAACTTTTGTTACGCCTCTTTGCCACCATTTGGCGTTCCAGTTACACATAATTAAATTGTATGCCACAATTAAAATGCTTAAAGGCAAGCAACGCACAGAGGAGAGATAAAAATAAAACCAAACAAACTAAAAATAACTACACAAAAGAAGAATTAGTGAAAAGTTATAATAAAACATCATTAACAACGTAACTGAGCAATATGTATGGAAGGCAACGGGTAAGAGGCGACAAAATTGCCACTAATCAACATTGTAAAGAGTAACAAAGCATGAAAAAAATAAATAATAAAAAACAAAAATTATAAAAAAAAAGTAAAAAAAAAAACTTGATCAAATTCTCTGACGTTTCGTGAACCACAATAAAGTCACACAATTGGCGCAACTTATTTATTTTTGGCTAAAAACGGGTGCAGCAGTGCAAAAAATAGCAGAAAACAAAAATAATACAAAGCATTTCATGCTGCTACCATCGAGTGCGGATTTATCCATAAAAAAAATATATACATATATATTTATATATGTTTGTTTTTGCACTGGAAGTGCCTGTTTTCTTCAAAGAAATGTGCTACGAGCACACAGCGTTCTTGCAAATGATGTAAAAAGTGCGTAAAGAATGCAATAAAGTGACTCAACGCTCGATGCACAGTTAACGCCTGCTGGTGGTATTGTTGCATGCCAAAGTGCAGAAGAAAAAAGTGGAGGATTCCGTGCCTGGCTCCGCTAGTTAGCAGGACTTTTTTTCGTTTTTTCCCCCTCTCGGTTATTTGACATTCGCATTTGTTGCTTTGGCTATGACTTGGACTGTTATTTATGTATTAAGAACATGAAAAAATGTGTCTTCAATTCGAACGAATAAGTTGGCATCTCGGTGGGAGAACCTCAGAAAGATGGTCAAAAGTGACGCGTGCCGGCTATGAATCATGACGGAAATTTTTACTTCAAATGTTGCCGCGAATGACTCAAGGTTGCGAAAGTTTTGGGTTGGAGTGAGTGTAAATGATTTTACTATACAAAATATTTAAAGCCAAATTTGAAATTATAATTTAAGATTTTCTGATTAAAAAACTTTCCCAATTCGAAAATAGGATAAAAATAATTGTTTTATGTTTCTTTTTAATCCTTTTAAAGAAAAACACCTGGCGCTAAGGCCATCAAACGCAGAATCCGTATAAAAATACGAAACAAATTATAAATGTAAATATATCCGATAAAGATAAGCCAAACACCGAAAGTTTCCCAAATATTTATCAAAGTCACATACCTTTGTTGATAGAGTATATGTTTGTTGTTGTTGTTGCTGTTGTTGTTTTTATAGCGGTCCGTTCATCGAGTTCAACTAACGATAGGTACAAAAAACGAGCTGTTTCAGGGGGTTTGAACCAGAGAGAATAGATAATTTGGTGTAAGAGAGCACGCAAAGAAGTGGTTAGTGTCGTGCGAGAACTCATTGCATGTAGGACATACACGTACATTGGCTATACCGGGGTCAAGCCTGGATAGGTAGAAGCTAAGTCTACTACAATAACCAGATCAAAGTTGCGACAGTATTAGGCGGATTCTCGAGGAAGCTCGAGCGCTCCGTCTGCAATAGTTGATGGTTGGACTCCGACAACGCCATTCATTGGAAGAGAGTTCACTCTATCAAATCATTCATTTTTCATAGCAGATCGTTAAATTTTCATGTAAACCTCTTATAGGCCAGTCGATTTTCTCGAAGGCTTGCGTATTTTCAGCGAAACTAGTAAGTCTAAAGTGTCATTTCTTTAGAAATTAGGTGCAGTAGAGAATTATTTGGGGCTTAGATTCAATTTTGGGGAGGCTGGAGTTCTTCTTGTTCATATGATGATCAGTTTTTATATCACAACAAATATCTGTTTTTTTTTTTTAAAAAAAGGCCTGCTGAAGTCACTTTTTAAAGAAACTTAAGCAGTAGAACTGAACCTCACGAAGAATTACTAGAGAATTCTTTATACCGCATACACTTCCACCGAATGTTTAAAAGTGAGTTATGAAAACTGGTTTAAGAGATATCAATATAAAAAAATGGACTGAAAGCTGGTACAAGTTCTTGTGCCAATTAGAATGAAATCAAGTTGAGAAATATGTTCCTATATACATATGGAGATGCTCTTAATAAGCTGATGGAGAATTAAAGCCATAGTATGTATGTACATATGTAACAAGCGAATGAATGTATGGCAAAATAATTGGACTTACCGCTCTTCGATGGTTGTCGGCAGCTGAGTTCGCGCCCTCATCATGCTCAAAAAGTGTTTAGTGTGGGCCGCCGAGCTTAAGCCACCGCTACCCATCAACATATTGTGATGATGATGACCAACACTGCCACTGCCCTCGGACAAATAACCATTATCGATGTCATGATAACGCCGAGCTGTTGCGGCGGCTCTTTGAGCCAGACGTGCGGAAGCGCTCACTCTCAACGAATCACCATCGCTGCAATAACCTTGATTGATTTCAGCCTCAACGAAATCGGCAACATAATTATGAGCGCCACCGCCGCGTACGCCACGTGTTGGCAACGTGACATGCGAATTGTAGCCGCGTAGTAGGGGCGGCATAGGCAGTAGACTTGTCGGTTTCTTTTCCTCATAAATAGTATCGATTCTCGAGGGTATTGTATGGAACTTGGAGGAAGCGCTCGAATGCTGCTGCTGCTGTTGATGATGGTGATGGTGTTGATGGTGTGCTGTTGGCGAATCTGGCGATTGAGCTGGATTACCGCGTAGAGGCGAACGTTGCGGTGAAGCAAGTATACCGGGACCAGAGTTATATTCAAGTTTGCGCGAAGGTGTGCTGGCGTTTGGGGATGAAGCGGTTTTTGGTGGAGGTAACCGGCTGTTGTTTATATATGTGGCATGCTCATCTCGTTGCTGTTGTTGTTGCTGATTGTAGTAAGCCTGCTGTTGTTGCTGATATTGTTGTTGCCGCTGTTGTTGTAGCTGCACTTGTTGCTGTTGCTGTTGCTGTGATATGTTAGCTGTATTGGCGTAATATGGTGGCTTGCTTCCCGGCTCCGGTAAAATCGGCACCGGTTTGACGATATGTGGTTGCTGTTGTTGCAGCTGTTGTTGTTGTTGTTGTTGTTGTTGCAGTTGTTGCTCTCTTGCTTTTGTGTTGTCACCGGATATGTTTGTATGCATGCTTGATATGTCACTCTTTTCACGTTTCAGCATTTCATGTTGCGAATTCGAACTGTTCATGCCACCGCGTATGCGATTATCACTGCTGCCACCAGCGCTTCCCAATGCGGATTGCGGCAATTTGCTGGTACCCTTTATGGCAGCAATGGGTTTGGGTAGCCCAGTGTTTGCGCCATTCGGACTACAAAGTCCTTTAGTGGGCGGCACAATCAGTGAGGATTTCGAATCAGACTTCGAGTTGAGTGAGCTCTTTGAGGCGGACTTCAATGAATTCTTTTCGCTAACACGCGGCAGTGAGTTTTTCGCCCGACCCATTGTTGAGTTGCGACTCTCACCACTTACATCTTCTTTATTCAGCGAACGCGCTGGACTCTTCTCCTTCTTATCAAGTTTACTGACTTTGGCTTGGTCTTTCTTTAATTGTGCTGCCATCAATTTGGATTGTTTGGTATTAACCTTGCCTTTGCCAGATGTTACGCTGACTGTGGGCGGTTTAATTTGTGATATGTGTCCGTCGTTGAGGCTCAACGATGAGTCCGAGCGTTCGGAACGTGCTGAAGAGAAGCCTGAAGAGGATGAAGTACGTTTGGATTGCACCTGCATTTTCGTTGAGGCAGCGTGTGCTGCGTTTTGTTGTTGTTGTTTTTCCTTATTGAACAACTTGAGTTTGTCCAACATTGAATGTTTTTGTTGTGGCAACGTTGGACCCACATGACCAGCCGCTGCAGCAGCAGGTATGCCACTTGGTGGCGGTATGCCGCTAGGGTGAGATGATTTAGCCGTTGGCGGGCGTAAGCTGGTTAAGAAAGAGAGTGAAGGGTGGTTAAAAAATAATAACGTGTTTTGGAAACTTAAAATTTATATAAAAAATTATTTTTATTTTGCATTTCTTCAAAAAAAAACCATATTTTTTTTTAATTATTCATTTCTTTTTAAAAACAAATTATTTTTATTAATATCTTTTAATACAGTGAATCACATATTTTTTTAGACTATTATTTTTTGATTGTAAATGCATTTTTATCGCTTATTTTTAAAAATTTAACAAAAAAAATATTGAATCATTCATATTTACTCACCCATTATTATTGCCAGTTTTCAGACTTTGTATTGTATGATTTGTAGTTGGTGGACTATTCGATCGTCCGCTATTAAATTCAGCGCCGCTTTTGCCCAAACCGGGTATAGCTGAAAGCGTAAGAAGATAAGAGTCTTAGTTGTAATTATATTTAATGTGACTTTTAGCGAGAGATTTGTATGATGAGCTTAAGTCTTAGAGGGGAAACATTAAGACGCATACCGCAAGTTGGAAGAGTAGCTCGTCCGAAAATCGTTTTAGCAGTTACAAAGCACCAAATATGTTACATATATATTACAAACTTTTTTAGCTTTTACTTGATCAATCCCATATTTTTTATTAATAAAAATAGTGAAAATTTAATAAAAAATCTTATAATTGTTTTCGCGGCGATGATATTAATTTTTGTTATAAGTTTTTAGTGAGCAAATTAACTATTTTTTGTTATCCAACAAAGTTGAAAAATGATAAAAAAAATTCAAGGAGTTTTTTTTTTAAATTTCATATCAAATTTTTTTTTTTTTGATTTAAAGTCTTAATTACAATTTTCAATTATTACAGCCTTTTTCTTTCAGATAATTCTTAACCTTAAACTTACAAATCTCTGTACTACCACAACAACCCTCGTGATATGTAAACTTCCAGTTTAATTTACGACACTTGCTGTTGGCAACTTGTCAACACTCTTTAAATATTTTTTTTATTCCATTTTTTCTGCAACGACACAGCCTTGTATTAACATCGAAAACGAGTGGACATTAATTTAAATTACATGCATGCGATTTCAAGTTACTTACAACAACAATAACAACAACAACTTTAGGTGCATTGACAACTTCTTAATATGAAAAGGACTTGTTGCCTGCAAGAGCCCTACATATGGTTGCAAAGAATGCTCTTTCCGTGAGTGCTGAAGCGAAACAACTGTCAGGCGACTTAAAGATATGCGTTAATTAATTTTCAAAACACGCGCCTACACAATAGTTCGAGCACAGCTGAGTTGTTTGTTATAGCGGAATCTACATACATATATACATACAATACTATACAGTAAATTACATTTGTATGCACATATATTACAAATGTTTATTTATACATATATGTAGTATGTATGTTTAACATGTATTGCCCCTAGAAACCACAAGGAATTTATTTGGCATATTTCTGGAGGGTACATCCATCAGTTTGGCAGTTGTGTAAAGTCCCAAAACAAAAACAGAAAGCAAAAAAGAATGCAACAAACAATGCATACGAATGAAACAAATTAGTGACAAGCATAAATCAAAATCACAGCTTGATCAAGTGATAGATTCAAAAGTATAAATAAGAGCTGCGGGTTTGGTCATCACATATATCTATACCAGTTTGAGGTGGTTTCCTTTAAATTTTTTGTTTCTGTTTTTAATTCTATAATTAAACAATATATCAAATTAACTTCCTCAATGCGTGCCTGTGATTTATGGGGAGCATGAAAGTGATTTTCGGCCGAGCTCCTTCTCCAATTTGTGGTTTTCCGTCTTCATGTTTTCCGAACAATTGCAGGCACCAATTGTTTTTTATTACGAGCCTTCATAGCATGTTAGAAACAATGTTTAGAAAATTCAGCTTCATTTTTTATTTCCAATAATTTTTTTTGTAATTAACGGATGTTGGTCGGACCCATGGCTCGCAACCTGGAACGGTGCTTTCCAACTTTTTTTTAAATCTTCTAAATAAATCATAAAAGTAAGAAGCCAGGAAGGCCTTTGAATATTTGCAGTTAAAATGTTTTTGACTAAACCAATTAATTGGTGTGGAGTAAGACTCGAGATCGGCTGAATGGATTGTAATCATTTTATTTGGAATATTCGACCACCCCTTAAAATTTTTCAGTCGAATTGATTATTACAATAATTAATTCCTCCATATGAAGATACACATATGAATAAAAAAGCTTTAAATTTACTGAATAAATAAACTGAGGTGAGTAAAATTATGAATTTTAAAACTAAATGAAAATATATAAATTTTTTTTTTGTGATGTTGAATGAATTGGAATGACTCGACTATAGCGTTGATATACAGAATTTAGTGCGTGAAAATAGGAGGTTGAGGACCCTACTGCGGGCGCTCTAACGCAGGTCAATATTTATATTTTGTGCTCTCCGGTAACCAAATAATCTATTATAGAGCAATTTTCCACATTTGGTGTACTATTTTTAATTTAATTCTTGCCAATAATGCTTAGACTGGAGTTTGGGACATGGTGCAAGATATTACGCTCCAATCGTCTAAAGGCCTGACGCACGCAAAGATAGTGCTTCATAGTTTCGTCTTATTTTTTTTATTCTTCAGATTCAATCTCATCTTTTGTTTGAAGACAATGTGTCTGGGACAGATGCCTGGTCAACAAACTCATAAAGATATTAAGTTAGACTTAAAGCTTATCGGCATAAGAGACAAAAAAAAAGTTTAAAAAAATTTCTTTCATGCTCGTAGTATTTAAGAAATCAATATTTTTTTTTTTTATAAAAATAACAATTTGAGAGAAATTTAGTTTTTAATAAAGGCTTTTTTAATTTTTTTTTTTATGAATTTTTTATTATTTGTTTTTCGAGATCCTTTACCAAAATAAACTTCTAATGTGAGCTTAACACTGCTACGCAGCGTATGACAACATTAATAATGTACCATGTCTAATAGCATTTTTCGTATAAATTTTTTTGACAAATTTTTGGCGGCATGAAGTCAGCATGAGCTAATATCCATATAAAGGTATATCGCATAACCACAAAAGCTCTTCATCGCTTCATCATCAAACGGTCATTAGAAGCTCACAAATCCCATCATTATCAAGCCCAAATTTATAAATACCCCAGTGAGCTATTTGATGTGTTTATTGGCAAGAGCTGAGGCGAGGATATAGCAGCAAAAGTGTACTAGCTCTCATTTTCACATATTCACTGTATTTATCATCAATTTACTCTTGATAGTATTTTATGCCTTCATATGGGCGAATATGTATAAATATATCTGCCGAACGCTTCAACCACTTTGACTAGCTATTTTTTACCCTTTTTTCTAATGGTAAAACTCATCTCTTATACTCACATACTCAACTGAGCGCACTTTTTTGTGAATTTTTTTTTTGTTTATTTCATGTTTATGGTATTGTTCGCGTTGTTCTATATGTTTGTCAGTCAAAGCAGAAAATCTCGGTCAATTTTCGTTTCGTTGGTGGTCGCTTTTACACATGTTCGCTTTATAACCGCTCACACTCGCAATATGCCTTTTACTCCTGCATCCATAACATCCAGATAGACTATATCCGCTCTTATGCTCATAAGACATGCATTTCTATTAATCTAGGTTTAAATCTCTCGGGAAATATGACAACATTGGGGTATACGAGTACATATATCAGCTTGTTTAACGGGATTTCATTTTTATTTCTATAGCTTGTTTGTAAGCTTGAAAGGATTTCCCGTTTTTTATGTTTTCCATGGCTTATGTGTGAATTGTAATCATAAGAACGTAGAGAGATTCATTTTTAAGGGTGGCTAATGCTTAAACTCAAGCAAATTATTTGCGTATGTGCAAGAGTGTGAGCGCTGAGCTTTTATTGAAAATGTTGAGTGGATTTTTAATTAAAATTTGTGGAGCACCGCTAGTAAATATTTGAAATGAACTTGAGTTATAAAAAGGGGATTTTTAAATTTAACGATGTGTTTCTATTTTTATTTTTAAAGAAGAGTTTAAATTGAAAATGGAGAAATGTTTTTGAAGTTTCTAATTGAAAAATAATCACACAATTATATGGGAGATCAGCATTTCTATGTATAAAAAATGCAAAATTTTTAATAAAACATATAACGGCCTCTTCTAGATTCCAAATGAATTTAAGAAGCTTTTTAAAGCTCTATAATACTAATTTAAAAATTCATGTAGCACATAGAGCATGTGCTCAACGAAAATACAAATATTTTTATGTATATATGTAGCTAATGCGAAGCTGTATGCTTCCAGAGTCAGGACGTATGGGTACGTATATAGTATAGTGTTATCCCTGAGCGTACAAATAGACTACGTAATCTCGCGCCTGACTATCAGAAGCTGTTTTCAATAACAAGAGAGGCGAACGATTGGACCAAAAGTCTGAAATACCCAGACAAAGGTCTTTGCTGATGGTTCTAAGCTGAATGGAGTTTACTAGGTCTAACTAGAAATAAGAAAGTCGTATAAGAAAGTCTTATAAGAAAGTCGTATAGGCAGCAAACCATTGCAGTATTTTTCAAGGCGAAATATTTGCTAAAAAATGGCGGCAGAGCTACTGTAATATGTGGGCGTCCAAAGAAAAAGAATACACATCTAAGTGGATAGACAAGCGGCCAGAAAAGCTTTAATTTCATACAGCACGAAGTCAGCTGTGGTCGCGCTACGTTCAGAGGCGTTTCGAGTACTGTCTGAAAACGGCTGAGTTTTCATTTACTGGGTTCAAGGCCACACGGAGATTGAAGGTAACGAGATAGCTGACGAACTGGTTACGGAGGGTGTATATTTCGAATACAGCATTGAGCCATCCAGTTTCATTTAAGGAAGTGAAGTAAAAGAGAGAAATAATACTACTACGTGTGGCAATTGGATTCTGAGAAGAAACTAAGGGCTGCAGAATCGCGAGAACTATTTGTAAAACATATATTGCTTAACTCACAAAGTTTGCACCATCTGTAAAGAGTCCGAACTCCAGGCTACTGAAAGGACTATTAACAGAGCATTTCCTTTTTACGTTATATGCTTTCAATATATGTATGTAGGTCTGGTCTGGGAACAACAAGTACAGGAAATGTAAGAAATGTGTGAAGACAGTGGAAATCTGTAAGTGTTCGGCATTCTGCAAACACAGGTTGTGCTTACTTGGCGCAGAAAGGCTACAGCATCTTCAATCCACAGTGACCAAGAGTTCAGCATAACTAATTCAATTTGCGAAAATAACAGCTAACAACACAATACGAATGTGGCTGTGCAGCTTGGTCACATGTAGTTTGGCAGCAAAATAGACGTATTATCGTCTATGTCAGTCGAAATCGGTGAGCGTATGTATAATGTAGCCGCTGTAGCGATTTCATTCCCAGCTTCTCCCACAATTTATGGTTTCCGTCTTATTATCTTTTCGAACAAAAAGAAGGACTTGCAGTTTATACTGAGGGGCCTCGGAATGGCTGATACATTTGTATTAGAAGACTTTTTGGATGCCAGATATACACTCGGAGTGGTTGAAATTTCCTGCCGAGGAGGGATAAGAAAACTTTATTTTTTATTTAAAATTAATTTTCTATTATTTTTTAATTATATTCGGACCAGGAATCAAGCACTTGCCTACCAAAACAATAGGGAATGATTCCTTATACAAAATTTTACTTATTTTAAATTTTTAAATTTTTGAAGCAGATATTCCATTTTATCATTTTCAACTATGGAAGGCTATTTTTTCTTAATTTTTTTGGGAAATATTAAAAAATAAAAATTATGATCAAAAAATTCTAAATTTTATCTCAAGCTGGGAAAACGAGAAAAGATGTTTCTGGAGGAAAACTTAAAAATTTATGAAGAATTGTGGTAATATTATGGGTTTTGAAAAGATTTTACAGTAAGCATTATCGATTTTGAACTGCCTCTGCTTCTGGGAATCTATTTCAGGATAAATTTTTAAACTCCTTCTGTTTGAGCAACCATCGATATTTGACGTTACAATTTTTATAGATTTATAGAATATTTCTTTTTAAGTTTAACTTACATGGCGTATGATTCGGTGTCGGTGGCAGTGGTCGTACTTTATCCGGTGGGCAACGTCGTTGCACCATAACAGTAGCGGGTAATGGTATGGCAGTGCCGCCATTGGCCTTAGAATAAGCGGTGGGTATTTGTCTGTAAGAAAGAGTAGAGGTGAAAACTGAATAAGCAAGTTGAAGAACAGAAATATCCATAAACGAATAACTTGTCATAAATTTAAAAATTATTCAAAAGAAACAAATATTTCGAAAAATTGTTGCGGTTAAGCGTTTTAAATATACATTTTTTTTTTTAGAATTAATATTAATATTTATATCTTTTAATTATTTCTTAAAATTCAGTAACCAATATTTATGAATTCTTACAAATTAATTTTCTTGCTTGCACTCCTGTATGAGCTTATATATGTGTCATACCCCATCTTATCGCTTAAATCGCTTATGTAATGTATTGCGAATTTCTTAGCATTCACCACAAGGCGCAATAACAATAAGGCAACAACAAACGCTGACAGTTAAAAAATTTACGATGATTTTATTACAATTCAATTCACTGAAATTCACTTGCGTGTTGCATTGGTTCACGTCGCTTGTACGCGATGCGTTGAACTGCCATGCGCTGTGCCGTGCTGTGTTCTGTGTTGTGTGTGGTGGGCTGTGCTGCGAGAAGCTCTCTACCAAATGCGGCCAATTTGCATGCACTCCGATGTTTGAATGCATTTATTAAACCGTAAAAATACTTATATATACACGGCGATGTGGTGTTTGTGGGGGAAAAAAATTACGAAATTATGCAAATTTGTGGTGTTGAGTAGAGTGAAGGCAGAAAACCTGCTCCTCTCTGCTTTGCTTTGCCTAATACAACGCAATTATTTATTTATTTTTTATTCTTAAGCTCACAAAAAACAAGAAACAGTGAAAGAAAGAAGGAAAGAAAGCAATAATTTGATGCGATTATTGAGTAAGGGAATGTTGTAAACTTAAACAAAGAAGATTTGACATATGTAAAGCAAGATTAAAAAAAAAAAATTAAAAAAAAAACAACGTACATATTACATATGTGAAAAGTACACTTGTTTATGTGCAAGATAATTTTTTCATAAAACAAAGTATTGTCATTATATTTAAAAGAGGTTAACTGATTTACTTTGCATTTGCGTCATTCAAGTGGAAATATTTTTTAACAAAAATTTTAATATCAATACAAAAATAACCACTTCTTGCTCTTATTTAAGAAAAAGTGTGGCGTATTATAAGTAATCAATGAAAAATTGGCAGTGAAAACCTGAAAATGAACTCAGAACGCGCTAGGGCAGTAAGGGTGTGTTAAAATTACATTTTTTATTTTTTTTTTTTTGCAAATAAAGGTAATGTTTTAACGGCACGAGCGAATGTAGAAATAATTTAAGGTATGTACATATACTTTGCATAAATTGGTGAAAATTTGCAATAAAAAAGACAGTTATTGATTGCAAATTAACAGTTGTTGCACGTCAGGAGAAATTTTGTGACGCAGATAATTCGAATTAATTTTTTGAAAAAGGGGGTTTTTTGTATAAAAAAATTTTGAAGGGAAATTTTGCCAAAAAAACAAGTAAAATAATTGAGCACCATTGGTTGGAAAAAAATTCAGAGAAAAAATTGTATTGACTTTTAAGGGAAATTTAAAGAGTGTGATATACACATACAAATAGAATATAATATATGAATTAGTGCACAATTTCTTTATTGCAAACATGTCAGGTTTCAAATTCACAAATTTCACGTTCTCTGGTATGGCCTTCAGAGAAATTCGAGGCTTTTGGAGACATCACAACATAGATAAATTAAGTAAATATATAGTACGATACATAAATATATACATATGGCGAGGCTGAGCTTACCCCAGCCAAGTGGAAAAGTCCGTTAGAGTTTAATCTCCTCAATTGACTCAAAACGGTTCCCTCGAAGTTGTTCCTTGAGTTTGTGGAAGAGCTAGAAGTCACATGGTGCTAAGTCCGGCGAATACACAGGTTGGGGAACGATATTCGTGGAATTTTTGCGAAATGGTCCCGAAGAATAAGTGCTGCGTGCGACGGTGCATTATCTTGATGGAAAAACTAAGAATTGTTGGCCCACAATTTAGCTCATTTTTGCGAATTGCTTCGCGAATAAAACACAAAACGCCTAAATGATATTCCTTATTTACCATTTGACCAGGTGGAAGGAATTCATAGGGCACACAAAACAAAAATCGAAGAAAACAGTCAACATGTCCTTGATTTTTGAGCGACTTTGACGGGATTTTTTCGGTCTTGACTCACCTTTAGCACGACCCTCTTAGAAGTCTTTGTACCACATATACACATTCTTCTGCGACATAGTTGAGTAATTAAAATACCAATGATGACATTGACATGAAATTTGGCGTAGATGTCAATAACAGTGCCACCAACATTAAAAAGAAATTACGCGAAGCTCAAATAAAAAATTGACCTTACTTTTTGCCCACAAGAGTAGATTGTTTATTTTTGTCTATGGTTGGAATGCCTTTTGGTCGTTTTATTTCTTCCTTTTGAAAGGAGGAGTTCACAAGAATCCAGTTCTCTATATCGTCGCTAATTAGAAAATGTTAAAAAAATTGCCGCCGAAAATAGCGCTGTGAAATGCGTGCAATATGCTTAGTGACAGTATAAGCTTCCCTATAATATGTAATATGAGTTTGAATAATTTTGGCGCTAGATTATCGGAACACCTTAAACACCCGTTTATGAAAATGCGATTTACTTTGTAGGAAACGCTATCGTCTCTTCTATCGCTGCATGTCACCTTCAAGATTCGAAGTTTTCGATTTCATTCTATCCTTGAAGTAGCACAGGCGCATGTGAGACTAATTTCACTTTTTATATATATTTGATATACGTGTATACAAACTTTTTTGTCAGAAAACATTTTTTATAATTTCAATGCAATTTCTAGCGCTAAAAAAATATCAAAAATCAAAAAAAGAAAAAAATTTGTTAAACACATAACCTTCATAAAAAGACACTTGTATTTTGATAAAAAAAAAATTATTTGATATTTTAATTTTATTTTGCAACATTTTTCGATAAATATTTTATTAATAATAATTAAATTAGTTTTATTAATTAAGCCATTTTTTCAGCCGTCCTCCATTGACCTGTCTGCAGGTGACAAAATGAGACAAATATCACTACTTTTCAATGGAATGTAAAATATCATACGCAATCACGCACCAAATATATTCAACTGAATCAAATTAAGTAGTGGGAGGAGACAGGAGGCAGGAGACAGGAGCAGCGCCATATGCACGTAGTCAAGTTTAATTATTGCGTTGGGTTAAACGAAATACACTCACACACGCTTGCATAAATTGAAATATAAAAGCATACATAAACATATTCACACATACGTATATGCAAATCTCCACATATGTGAGCTTGCAACACTATGTTGCCACTTGTTGTAGAGCTTCGAGTTCACTTATTTGTTTACTTCTTACTTTTTTTACTTTTTTTTTGCGGATTGCATTTGCTACTTAAGCAACACATATGTGTAAGTATGTACGTATTTGCATTTAATTACATATATATGTGTGTAGGTATGTAGCTGTGCCTGTATTTGTACGCTGCGATTCTGATGTAAAATTTGCCATAAACAAATGTGACAGAATCATTACTTAGTAAGTTTGCCTTTTTGGACTTTCCGCACAGACTCGAGCGTGATGTATGCACCAGCAGCACAGCCATATGCACATCAGGAATTGCAGCAACAAAAGGAATTGCTACTGACGGAAGTCAAAAGTAATGTTGCATATTCACATAAATATTTCAAAGTTCCTTCCTTTGTGCTTCATCTTCTGCTTCTTCCACTTCTTCTTGCATGCCATTATGGCTTTGTTTCACTGCCTATTTGTACGACTTTGCTTCTTTTTCTCTTCTTTTTCGTCTTTTTTTTTTTCTACACGAATTGAAGTTGTGCAATTTCACATAAATAGAAAACGTGCGGAAATGTTGCAAATGTCGCTAAATACTAAATGCAAATGCAACAAAATACCAGCCGACACACACCCACACTAAAACAAGTACAAATGCATATATTTGCATACATACGAGTATGTACACGTATGTTTGTGTGGAGGACATATGCGGCTTTTCATCACGAGTGGTAGTTAGCAGGCAACGAACCATTGCAATGCAGCTCAGTGAATCAGGAGCATCGTCGAGGAGGTTTTTTTTTTTCACTTTTCGTCATTGCTGCCTTACGAATGGGGGAGTTGGTTCGTACTGCTTTTACTGCAAAGTGGCGCTTCTGCGGCATGTAGAGTATCGGTAAAAGCAGCAACAGTCTACCTTTCTTTCGATTTTAATATTTTCTTTTCATTTAATTGAAATGTATGCACATTTGCACGTACATTTGCAATATACACACATTTGCACATATAATCATACACCCAAACATACTTAAGTATGTTCATACATCCATACTTATGAAATGCATGCAAATATTTCACGGTGTTGGTGACATTTATTTCATTTCATAACGCAAAAATATTCCACGATTTCTTAGCTGAAGCTAAGCTTTGACGTTCGGTTCGATATTTGGGGTCAAAGACATTTTTAAATGATTTGTGGCGCAACTCGTTGAAGAGGACGTCGGCGTTTGACTGTAATGTCATGATTGAGTAATAGGATTTTTGTGACAGGAAGAAAATAATGTTGGAAAGTTTATTAAGGAAATGTTCATATATCAATTATGGAGTGTTAATAAATTATTCTCAGTAATATTTTCAGTCTACTAGACTACGAGAAAGTTTACAATGAAGTTATACTCCAAAATCTCCTACCTAACAACCAGATGTACGTGAACGGTATTATATAATCGTTCTGCCCATATATAATTTTGGAAATTTGTTTAATTAAGCTGTTAATATAAAAGAGCCAGAGAGTTAAAATATATCAAATAATAAGAAAGCGTTAAAAAAAACTCGAAAGTTTTATAAAAAGATACGGCGACTTAAAGAAGGTTTCAAGATAGAAGTAGAGAGGCGATCTAGTAACCGATGAGCAGAGTATACTGAATTTATGAAGATAACACTCTTCAAGCTTGCTGAATGGCAGTGAAAGTAAAACAGCA